ACACCTTCTGTTTGCAGATGATACACTCATCTTCTGTGGAGCGGATAAGTCTCAAGTCCTCTACCTAAACATTACTCTTATGATATTTGAAGCTATGTCTGGCCTGCACATTAATATGCTCAAGAGTGTTATCTACCCAGTGAACTCGGTCCCAAATCTGCTAGAACTAGCAGACATTATGGGTTGCAATACAGGCTCCTTCCCTACCACATATTTGGGTCTTCCTTTAGGTGCCAAATACAAGTCCACTGAGATATGGAATGTAGTAGTTGAAAAATTTGAGAAGAAGTTGGCTACATGGCAGAGGAAATACATATCTCTTGGTGGTAGGCTTACCCTTATCAATAGTGTATTAGATAGCATACCCACCTATTTTATGGCGCTTTTTCCTATCCCAGCAAAGGTTCAAAAGTAATTGGACAAAATAAGAATGAATTTTCTAGGGGAAGGGAATAGTATCAGTCACAAGATTCACCTAGTGAAGTGGCACAAAGTCACACTTCCGAAAGCACTTGGCGGACTTGGAGTTAAGGACCTCGCCTTACTTAACAAAAGTATGTTGATGAAATGGCACTGGAGGTTTAATCAGGATAATGCTGGCTTATGGAAGGAGGTTATCATAGCAAAATATGGTAGACTCAACCATTGGTGTACCGATAGAATTAGAACCCCTTATAGCACAGGATTATGGAAGAGCATACACAATTTATGGGGAGCTTTCTCTAATAACGTACACTTTCAGATTGGTGACGGGGCCACTACAAAATTCTGGACTGAAAAGTGGATAGGAGACTCAATACTAAAGGAAGCTTTTCCAAATCTCTTCCTTATTGCAGGAAATCCAGAATCCTTTGTTGCTCATAACAGAGTAGGCAACACATGGAGCCCGATCCTTAGAAGGAACCTGCAAGATTGGGAGGTGGAGGATTTCATAGACCTGCTAAAGTTATTGGAGAGCTGCACTATAAACACTCAGCTGAAGGACACACTGAAATGGGGAAACGCAAAGGATGGAACTTACTATGTCAAGGCAGGGTATGCTAAATTGTGCTCCAACAATATGATGATTGATCTATGGCCTTGGAAACTAGTATGGAAGACAAAACTGCCACCCAAAGTCTGCTGCTTCAGCTGGTTGGCCTTAAAGAATGCATGCCTCACCCAAGACAACCTTACCAGAAGAAACTTTCAATTGGCCAACAAGTGTTACATGTGCCAAGTTAACTCAGAATCTGTTAACCATCTTCTTCTCCACTGTTCAATAGCCACAGACATATGGAACATATTTCTCAGTATTTTTGGTCTACACTGGACTATGCCATTCTCTACCAGAGATGCATATGTGAGCTGGACCTCAGGGGAAGTTGACAGAACCATCAAAAAGTCTGGAATATGGTACCTGCAAGCATTTTTTGGTGTATTTGGGTCGAAAGGAATAGTAGATGTTTTGATGGATTATCAACTTCAATAGGTTGCTTAAAGGCTAGATGTTTGGTTAATTT